ATAATAAAAAAAGATAAGCTTTTTTTTAATTATAATTATATAATATAATTTCTTTTTCTTCTGTTTTCATATATAAGCAGTACGGAAAAGAAAACTTTGAGTTGCTTGTCGGAAACTGAAACTAATAAAAACTCTTTTAAAAATCTCGCCTTTTTGTTAAACCCTTTAAAATATAGAATAAATAATAAATTTCTACATCAGTTATTGTTTGCATAAATTGTAATAAATTTCTACAACAGTTATTGTTTGTATTATTTACACAATTGCATAAAGATTTAATGAAAAAGAAAATGATCAAAGAATGTAAAGAAGTTATCTGTTTGAACTTTTTTGGAATCACTAACATTTGATTGAAGATATCCTGACAATACTACAGATCTTTAGAACTTTTACCAAATGGTTTTGAATAAACTTTTAGATAAATACAAATTTGAATTTTTCATGATTATTTTTGCTTTTGATGACATATAAATAACAAAAAAAAAATTTCAATTTTAATAATAAAAAACAGTTTAACTAAAAAAACATTAAAAAACTTAAAACAAATTACAAATTCGCTATATCGTAGCAATAATATTTTGACTTTTTAAATAAACTGCAAAGAACACTATATCAACACAATTATTAAGCAAGTTTTTGTTAATTCATTTTTGATTGAAAAAATCAAAAATAAAATAACAAAGTTAATCCTTTTCAAAAATTCAAAAATCAAAATTTTTTTGATTTTGTTAAAAGGATTTTTCCTTAAAAACGCAGTAATTATATACAGCTCTAATTAAGTAAGTTTTAATAACTTTTCATTGAAACATTTAAAACTTGAACAATTATTTTTTTTATTATCAAACTGGGTCATCAACTTTGAAGCTCATAAACCAGTTTAAACCAGTTTAAAGTGTTGAAATTTTGAAAAAATAGTCTGGAGTTTTATTGAAGAATTTTGTTGAATAACAACTTTGTTACCAATAACAAGTTTGTTACCAAGATTTCTTCAAATGACCAAATCTAAATTTAGTACTAAACTTATTTCCTTACCAAATTATTGAAATGACCAAATCTAAATTTATTACTAAACTTATTTTCTTACCAAATTGTTGAAATGACCAAATTTAATTTTATTACTAAACTTATTTCCTTACCAAATTGTTGAAATGACCAAATCAAAATATATTACTAAACTTATTTCCTTACTAAATTGTTCAAATGACCGAATCTAAATTTATTACTAAATTTATTTTAAATTCCTACATTTCTTAATATACAAATAAATGTTTTATTTTTTAAAAACTACAGAAAACACAATTTTTGATTTTTGGGCAGTACCAATAACATGTAAATTACTGAAAGCTGTTGTTACCATGATGCCCCTGAGATTTCATCCATTTAATATTTTTTATACTTTAACATCAAAGATTTATCAGTAAACAACGAGTTGAATTCATCGAGTTTTCTTATTTTGTTTTAATATTTCAGGGTAGTGGTAAAACTTGTAAAATTAATCATATTTTGACACCTCTTGGACATGTATAAAAATATGAATAGACCAACATCAATGCTTAATATTTTGTATATCCTAAAGGATATTTTATTACTTACCTTTTTGAATATATATATTCTAAAAAGGTTTGTAATAAAATATCATTGGACATAAAATATATGTTTTAGTATATATCTATTTTTAGATAACAATTGACGGACGACCTTAAAGATTGCAAATTATATGAACCAGGAAAACAAGATGAAGGAAGCGAATTTCAAAGAATTGATGTTCGAGAAAAAAAACTAGACGAGTAAGAGTTACTTAACACTTGGAGCACTTAGAAACAGTCACAGTAAATGGATGAAATATAATTGAGGTCCAACTATGATTACAATGCGTTTTTGCACCTTATCTAATAAAAAAAGAGAATTATTGGAAGATCCACCACAGATATGGCAACAGTATTCCATAAAAAGCCAGATTTAAGATTTATAGCAATAATAATACCATCCGGAGTAAGAAAACGGCAAGCACTATAAAGAGATGCAACCTTAGCAGATGCAAATTTTGCAATCAATTTGATATATGGTTTCCAAGAAAGATCTGAAGTTAAAAGAAGATGTAAAAAAGGGTAGATGACTTGGCGAGTACATCACCATTCATAAATATAGGAAGATCTAAACTCTTGTGGTAATATTTGCCTGAAATAAATTGGGTTTTATATGAAATAAAGTTCTCTAACCACTGTGAGCTCCATGCTGTAGCAGAAGTGAGATCCTTTTCAAGCTCAAATCCCCCCTCCAAGCAATCAGAGAGTGTTGGCTTCTTATCATGAGAAAAATAAATGGTAGTATCATCAGCGAACAATGCCATCTAACATGAGAGAATATTTGAAAGATTGTTAATGTAAATTAAAAAGAGTATAAATCCAAGGAAAAAAACCTTGAGAAACCCCTGAAGTTACAGAATATGAAGAAAAGTACTGTAGATTGAGGACAATTTTTATACAACAATTGAAAAGGAAGGACTCAATAATCTTAAAGATGTTACCTGATACATCGTAAGAAGAAAGTTTATGGAGGAGACCAGCATGCCAAATTTTATCAAAAGTTTTAGAAATTTTAAGAGTGATAGCCTCAACCTCTCCACTTCTATCTAATGTACAATAAAACCTATTGGTTATTACTGCTAGCAAATTTGCTGTAAAACGAGAAGATCAAAATTCAAATTGATGATCAGAAAGTAAGTTATTAGATTCAAGATGAGTGATTTAGTGTTTGTTAATTAAAGGTTCAAAAACTTGCTTATGATAGAAAGAAGACTAATGGGATGGTAGTTAGAGGAATCAGATTGCTCTTCAGAAGTTTTGAAAATTGGGATAACAGATGCCGCTTTCCACTATGCCGGAAAACAAAGCTCTGATAAGCATTTGTTAAATAGTTTTGAAAGTATAGACGACAGCTCCGAAGAACACTTCTTCAAGACTATAATAGATATGTTTTCCGGACCACAAGCTGTAGAAGAGTTTAAGCAGGAAATCACTTTAGATACAGAAGCTGGAGTGATACAAATGTCAAGCAATGGATCAACTTGTTTGACGGCTAAAACAGGTAGAATACAACTAGTGGACTCAAGAGACGATATTGATAAAAAGTTCTTAGCAAACAATTCAGCTTTGTCTTTAGATGAGGTAACAAAGTCTGAACCAAACAAGAGAGGTGGAATATCAAATTTGCCCTTATTATTGATACTATTAAAGATTCTCCAGAAGTCACGAGAGCCTAATTTTTGACATGAAATACGAGATTTCGTGACTTGAGAATAGCGGGCTTTAGCGTCAGACAATGGTTTCTAGCAATATTAAAAAGACGTCTGTTTTCTGGAAAATCGTTTTGCTGATAGATATGGAAATAATGGCTTCGATTAGAAATTGCAGCAGCACAATATGAGGTAACCCATGGAGAAGAGTGAGGCTTGACTAGATATTGTCAAGAGGGAATAAAAGATTCCATACCAGCCTGAATCCAAGAAGTAATGTATGAAGCACATTTATCAGCAGGACGACGAAAGATTTCTACCAAAGAAAATCACGGAAAGAGTTCCAGTCTACTTTAAGGTAGTTATAAGATGTCCGATAATAGGGGGAATCTAATGATGAAGAAGAATGAGATAATAGTTTTAGAGAGATCAAACTGTGATCAGAAGGACCTAAGGGTGAATGTGAAGAAACTGAGCACTGACGAGATCAGAAACAAGATATAAGTTGAGTTGGGAAGGTAAATGAATCGGGTTGTCTGAAAAACGAGATGGAAAGTTGACTATTTGAGTTAGAGATTGAGAAAGACAAAAGCTGTGGGTCTTAACGCCTGCAGAATCACTGACACTAGATTCAAGCCATTCAGTGTGATGAGCATCAAAGTCAACAACAACAACAATAATGGCTGATGGATAAAGAGAGAGGGCTTAGTCAATTTGATCAGAAGTCACATCAAAAAGAGTGCAGTCTTGAGATGAAGGAGAGCGATATAGAATAAAGAGAAAGGCGATAGAGTGAAGTAGCACATAAAAGAATATTGGTGAATTTAAATCTAGTTTTAGAAGTATAAATGCTATGAAGAAAGTATGTGGAAGTATAAATTTATTGACAGATATTTACTAAAAGTGAGAAGATAAATTAATTTAGACGAATAAAGAGATTAGAAAATTGGCTTAAAGTACCCAGCAAATTATAACTTCCCAGTAATTATTTTATAGCGGCATTTCAGTGGACCTATACACGCAATTTGAGCAGATCGCTTTAGTTTTACTCATCAGTTTCTTATTGGACTGTTAGTGGCAGCCACCAAAAGTGGCTAACTGATAACTAGCCACTATTACCATGTCGAAAAGTTACCGACCTGCTATTTATAGCGGTCATTAATGGTCTACTAAGTAACCGATGAATAAAACTCCAATAAAACGCTAAAAAATACCTATATAGGTCCACTGGAAATCCACTCAAAAATGTTTCCTTGGTGTTTTTTATATAAAATTGATGTGATACTAACATGGAAGATTTTTTTACAATAAAAGCACTATTGATTTTAATTTAAGATAATTATGTTAAATTTATTAACAAAGAATAATTATGCTAAACTTATGCAAAAGTTAGGTTATTCTTTGATTTTAATATGAAATATAAAAAACAATGTCACAAACTTTAAAACAGAGTTTGACTTTTGAAAACGTAATTGAAAAATAAGACAGAATTTTTTCAACAAATTGTGAAAATTGCGCATGCGTGTGTATATTTTTAGATCTTTCGCATGCGTGTGTATTCTATATATCAGCATAAAATTTTAGACATCAATTGATGGCAGTACATTAAACTGTATTACTTTGGTAATTAAGACACCAACTGATGGCACTAAACTCTAGGGATTATATTTAAAAGTGGCTTTTTCCTAATAAAAAATGGCATTGTATTAAAATGCAGTTGTTATTTTTAATTCGATTTTATTTTTAATAAAAAAAACAACAACAGTGTAGTTAGAACTAATCTTATCTTAATAAATATTTAAAATTATACAAATATCACATGATTACATTAAATAAATAGCATAAAGGTAATTGAAAAACTAAATGAAGTTACAAATTCTTTTGTGTTTGATCTCCAGGTTTATATCCTTTAAATAAAAATGCAGGTTTATCATGTCGGTATCCGTTTTCATGGTAATTATTGAATGATTTTCTTGATTCGTCGGATGGAGATAAAACTGAGTGAAAATTAACATCACGACCAACTTTAGGCCCAGGAAAAATGAAAGGAGCATAGTGATTTCTAGCTTTGATTTTCAAGTCTGCTTGGTTTTTAAATTTGTTATAATCATAAACTTGATTGGTTTGATATTCATTTTCTAATTCGCTAATGTCGCCATCGATTTCGTTATCGGTATCTTCATCGTCGCGAAAAGGCAATGAGTTGACAGACAAAACCACGTAGATGTTTAAAACCAGTAATGCATAGAACACGTACATTGTTAGTTTATTTATTTTTGACATTTTTTACTTCGTTCTTTACTTTGTAATAATTATGTGTCGACAGTTTTTCAACTAGCTAGATCGATTTTCTGTTTCTGATTGTTTCAATGTAAGATTAAGGGAATTTAAAGTCATATTTTTAATAAATAATAAAAAACTTTTACTATAGATTCTATTGTGTAACTTTGTTTCCTCCGAAAGCGAAATAAAACTCATTGTTTCAGGAAGGAACATTTATTGTTAAAATTGATTTCCTCCTATTGCATATAAGGCAACCTATAAAAATACGCACAATGAAAAAATGATTCTCAGGAAATTAAAAAAACAGTCTCGCCTCTGAACACGATATTAAGGTTTGTTTTTATAAAGTATTACAATTTGCATCTAGACGTCTAACTAATTTAATATGAGAGCTTACTTATAACTTTTTGCACTTTTTAATAAAATATTTAATCTTTGCCAAAAAACTTGGATTCATTACCTGTTTCCAGTTTGTTTGTTTTTTGCTTATCTTCCGTCTACTTTTCTTGTTTAAATTATATTTGTTAATAATGGTTAAAATGTCATTGTTTAAAAGAAAAACAATTTAGTTATAACTTTGGGAGTAATTGTTTGAAATGTTTGATTTAAAATAAAATGAGTCAACGTAACCTCAAGAATATAAATACAAACTTGTTTTAAATATGTTACTTTAATAAAAAATAAATATTTTTGTATTTTGTTTAGAATTTACTTTTTTTTTCAAAAACCCACATGTTATTTATCTGAATGTAATTCATTATTAATATATGTTCTCACCGGCTTTCCTCATTAGAATAAATAGAATACGAAATGATAATTCAAAGTAGCGACAAACAAAGACGCTCACTTTGTAATAAAATATAATTGAGTTATTAAACATAAATAACTTTAGATTAGCGGTAAAAATAAAAATTAGTTATTCCACCTCTTTATATTGCTCATTAGAATCAACTAAAGATTGCAAATAAAATTATTGTCAGAAGTATGCTAAGTTGATGACGAGTTTTAATATGGAATGAATAGAGTTTAAACACCTAAATGGTGATTAAGTTTACAAGAAGCTATAATCATGTCATAAATTAATATTGAAAAAAAAAAATGGATTCTTTTTTTCAAACTTTTTAAGATGAACTATTACAAAGTGATTTGTCTTCTAAAAATCCGCTATTGAATGTTTGCTGGGTATATGATCTGCCCTGGCCCCAAATTAGTACTTAAAATTTTTTACACAATTTTTTTTGAGCACAGGAAAGGTCCCCACAGAGGGAAAAAAGGTCAATTTTTACCTCTTTTTTAAGAAAAATTTGCCCCGCTTGTGGGCCCTTAAATCTCAACCAATTTAAAAAATAAATAATCCATTAACATGGTAATAAGTTCTAATACTTAAGTTTAAATGGCTCTTTTTTTTAATTAATATTTAGGTATTTGTTTATTTTCAACAAAAAGCGGGTTTTTAGTAACAAAATATCTTATATTTTGGGGTTTTTTTAATAATTTTACATTTGAATAGATAATTTTTTGACAAAGTTTGTTTTGTGTAAAGATTAAGAATTTTTTTAAATAAAGTAGAGAGAGAAAAATTGTTTTCAAAATTTAAATTTAAATTTATGATTCATTTATCTAACATACAAATATTTAAACATGTTATTTTAGATCAACATAAAATAATAATAATTTATAAGATGCCGCTAAAAAAGAAAATCAAAATAATTGATAAAAGTTTCCTTGTGGGAAAAATAAATTATGCTATTCTCAACAACAGGTTTGCTACTACACAAGAAATTCTTCAGTACTACAACTTTCTGAGGAAATCTAGACCTGAAGCTAAACTGAGTTTATTGTTGGATGCCCAAACAAATGTGGATCATTCTCACAAAACTGTCTAATCAGTCAGCTACATTGCTGCATAATATCTAAGCTAACAAGCTTAGACTTGTTGCGTGGACACGTGGTGACTTTGAAGTCATTACAAACCCAGGAGCTAAGATCAAACTTTATGCCTTAAAAAAGACCAAAATATATATTTAAATTTTTTTAAGCACTTAAGAATAATAATTTCATTTTATAGGATAAAGGTTGAAAAAATGGTGAAGAACTGGATGAAGCTGAACCCCTTAAGTAAAATAAACAACCCTGCTGAAGAGAAAAAGAGAAAAAACTTTATTGAAAATATGAAAAAGGTTTTCTGAATCGGAGAAAACCCAATAAATATGATTTAAAAAATAAGGAAAGATAGATTAAGAAGATTTCAACTGATAGTGATTTTGAAATTGAGACACATTTTGATCCTAGTTCTGTCAACCTACCCAAAGATATCTTGCACCGTACTAATCACATAGCAGTTGGAGAAGGTTTAACTCCACATCAACACACATTAATTCTTAGCAGTATTATAGTCAATTCTGGAGGATGCACGTCTGATTTTGTATGCTCAAACTCAACTATCATACAGAGCAGCAGAGAACGCTGTGTTTATGGATGCAAATGAAATAAGAGACCATAATAAATCTTCAAATTTATTTTTAACAATTTATTTTGATGGAAAAATTGTCAAAGAACTTACTGAAGGAAAACAGTTTTCAAAAGAAAGATTAGCTGTTCTTGCTAGTATTAAAGGACAAACCGAGTTACTTGGAGTTCCAGCTATTGACTACGGTTCTGGGGAACACCAAAAAGAAGCTATAGAAGAACTCATTTTTAACTTTGGATGAGATAAAGTTCAGTGTCTTTGTTTTGATACCACTAGCGCTAACACAGGTAAAATAAAAGAAGCTTGTAGCAGAATATTTATGTGCTTACAGCACCCTATGTTGTTAACTGCATGTCGAGCTTAATTTAAGTAGTCATACTTCAGGGCCAGAAAATAAATTATTTAAATTTCTTAAAAACCATTAGAATGATCTAGATACTGAAAAGCAAGATTTGAAAAGATTATCAACTCCGATTGGTTCCTGGATTAATGAACAAAAGCTGAATGCAATTCGATTTTGCAGATATATTGGCACTAAAGTTTTTAAAAGTGAGAATAATAAATAGTTTTATTAAAGGTGAGAATAATAAATAGTTTTATTAAAATCTTTATAAATAATTCAATTAAATCTAAATACTTCTTACAATTTCAAAAAAATAATACAGTAAAATAGTACTTCACCTAAAATTTTCCAGTTTTATCTGAACTTTACTTTTGTTTTAAGTTATTTAAGTTATCATTAATTGTTAATAAATATTGTTTAGAATGGAAAGTATCATAAAGATTATCAAAAATTGGCTGAACTTACTTCGATGGTACTATCACCTACCGACAGATTCAAACTTCACAATCCTGGAGCTGTTTATCGTGCCAGATTTATGGGTAAAAGTTTATTTTACTTAAAACTATTTCTACTTGTGGAAAGAATTTCTGAAATCAATGAAGAGAGTAGGGATGAAATCACAGAAGTTACAAAGTTTCTTTCTATTTTTTGCTCTGAGTGGTTTCTCAGAACCGAATTAAGTTCAGCTGCTCCGACACAGCTACACTATCTGAATAGTTTGAAAATAAATATATAATTTTGAATAAATGCATAAAATAGGTATATTATTTTTATAAGTTAAACATTGATAAATCTAAGATTTAAGTAATAGCATTATGCAGATGAAAAGATTGAAGGAATGGAATAAAGCTGGCGCTCAAGCTGTTTCTAAATCCATACAAAAACATACTTGGTACCTTGATCCATATTTAGTCATTTTAGCAATTGCAGATAAGAAATGTCAAGAACGTGGCTACATGGCTAAGAGACTTATTAGTTCACAGGATGAGCCTCCCAGTTTATTTCAACTAATTAAAGAGATGTCATGGTTTGTGTTTGACATGCTTGTTCATGGAAAAACAGAGATTCAATAAAAGAAGCTTCCTCCAGAGTATTGCATTTTAAATGATTTTTATCAAGATTTTGAAACAGCCGTTATGAATCTTGATGTTGTGAATGATTGTTCAGAGAGAACAGTTAGTTCAACAACTTGTTAACAAAGTACATTCCGAAGAGAAAAGAAAAGATACATTTCTTTTCACTTATGTATTCAAGAGAAATCGAAATGGAAGAAAAAAGTTGGATCATGCCGAAGTTGCACTAAATAGTATTATTTAATATCAACTTTTTGATTAAATTTGTTTTGAAACAATTGTACATTTTTTTGTTTTGCAAAGTTTTCCTAAAAAAGGGGCAAAAATTGACTCTTTTGCCCTCTGTGGGGACCTTTCCGATGCTCAAAAAATTTTGTAAAATATTTTAAGTACTAATTTGGGATCAGAGCAGATCATAAGCCAGGGTTCTTATTAAAATTTTGACATGACCTATTTTTGAATAACCCTAATATATATATATATATATATATATATATATATATATATATATATATATATATATATATATATATATATATATATATATATATATATATATATATATATATATATATATATATATATATATATATATATATATATATATATATATATATATATATATATATATATATATATATATATATATATATATATATATATATATATATATATATATATATATATATATATATATATATATATATAATAAAAATGCGTTTTATTCTAGACATTGATGAAAATGCGTTTTATTCATAGCAATTGATGTTAACTAATATTATTTTTCATGCTTTTATTAACCTTATTGTTAAAAACTATATTTTTAAAAAAATTATAAGTTTTCTTTCAATTTTTCTCATGTTGTTTACAATTTTGTTTAAAGTAGCCGGAAATTTACTGGAAAAAAGAGATTAAATCCAATAGAAAATAATGGAAAGTTGTAAAGGATGAGGTTACAAAACAAAATCTTTGGAACAAAAAGGATCTGTGGGAGACTGTGAAAACATCATGGTACGCTATTCCACTATTAACATGCCATAAATTAGTCAACAGCATGCCCAAAAGACTAATCGAAGTTAAAAAAAATAAAGGGCATGCAAAATAATATTAAATTTTTGTAAATATTATATGAAGTGATTGATAAACTTTTTTCAGAAATAAAGAAAAGTTAGTTTTTGTTCTTAACTGTTTTTAATTATTTTTGTTAAA